TACACACCCAAAAAAGCGAGTTGCAGTCCTTGGTTCAAGAAGGGACTGGTGCACCGCCACTCTCCTCCCCATAACCGCTAAGGCAGAACTCCCGCCTGATGCACTGGATCACACCACGCCCATCCCTGCTAGAATGCAGCACTCCTCTTTTTTTTTTTTTTTACCCTTTTTCCCCGGAACACTGACCCGATTAACTTTGGTCACGGGCTTGCTTAAATAGTCACAACGAGTCCATTCTGTAGATGTAAATTCTACACCTACCGACATTTTCATCTCTTTCTCTCAGGAGTAATTAGACTATATAGTTTCTCTGGATAATACCAGCATCCTTCTCTCACCTGTCCAACCATATTCCACCCCTTAGCTCTTTGAAAAAAGCTTCTTATCCCTCCTGCCTGTTCATTCTATTTCCAATTTTGCCTCATCCCCGCCCTGTCATCTCTCTCTTTCTCTATGCTCTGCAACCAGCACTGCATACACACGGCTATTTAACGGTAGCTGGGAAATCCGGTTATATGCTTTAAACCGTTCTTTGTCCATCGGTTTTCTTCTTCCTTTCTTTTCTTTTCTTCTTTTTGACTCCTTTATGTATTTTTTACTCTCTATTATTCGCTCTCCCTCCTCGGTCTTTTCTCTTAACTTTTTTGTTTTCCCTCTTGGTTTGCATGTTAGTTGAATTTGTCTGTGTGTTTGTGTGCTCCTGCTCCCTGTGTGTTTGTCTGTCTGTTTTCATCTCCAGGGCTACCTCAAGAAACAAGCCAGAGTACACAAGGTGGAGAGTCCCAAATATCACTACAAGTAGGAAAATAAAATAACCAAGGTCCCAACAAGAGAGACCAAGAGATACCATTCAAAAAACACTCTCTGAAAGGATAGGCCCTGGACAGTCAAAGAGTCATCTTGGATACAGCAGCGCTCATAGGTGTAGAGAGCATAACAAGTCTTTAAATCTAATAAGAGCCAGAAAGCTAACTAAAATGAAGAAATGAAAGAGCTCTCCTCCAAAGAAACTCTAAGAAGAAATGACAGCTAATGAACTGCTCAAAACAGATATAAGCAGCATAACTGAACAAGATTTTAGAACAATAATCATAAAATTAATAGCTAGGCTTGAAAAAGGCATAGGGGACATCAAAGAAACTATGGCTACAGACAAAATGGGAAAAAAAAGGCATGAAGAATTTTAAAAATGCAATAAATGAGATACATAATAAATTAGAGGCCTCCAATGCACAGATTGAAGAGGCAGAAAAGAGAATAAATGATTTAGAAGACACCATTATAGAAAAATAA